TTTTCAATGCGTCTTGACTGCTTTATCTTTCTCTTCATAACTGCTATTGTCTTGTCATCAATTACTCTTGCACAAAGTAAAGCCGAAATGTATATTTCTCTGATTGTAGTGTTGATGTTATAGTTTTTAATGCTGCCCTCATTTCATTGTCATTAACATATGCTATTGCATTGATGGATGATTTTGCTTTCTACATGAGATCCAGCACAGAAGTGGAGAACTTGGTAAGATAATACGACATACTTATATACCAGTACCAGTATAATTCTCGTATAGATGGTATCTCCAGAGAGGGTTATTGCTTATGGTGGATTAGAAGTCGAAGCATCATTGGAAACTCTTCCTGAGTCTAAGCCACCACCAAACTGGCCTGATAAAGGAAATATTATATTTAATGAGATTTGTTATAGTCATTCAGTAGATGGCCCACAAGTACTGAGTAATATATCATGTCTTATATCTAGCAGGAGTAAAGTATGTAGCTATAATGTTTGGGTGCTATGAAAAAATTGAATTAGGTTGGTATTGTGGGTAGAACTGGTGCTGGAAAGACATCACTGATATCAGCATTGTTTAGATTAGCTGAACCAACTGGCGGCAGTATCATTATTGATGGAGTTAATGCTAATGCACTAGGACTACATGATCTTAGGAAGAATATATCAATTATACCTCAAGTATGTGCATGTATGTATTTTATTGTAAAAATGTTTCATTATTGTATTGTAGGATCCAGTATTGTTTGGTGGGCCAATTAGATACAATCTTGATCCTTTTCAAGTGTACAATGATTCTGACATATGGAGAGCATTAGAACAAGTAAAGATTGCTATAAAATATTTGTAATTCTTTGATGATGCATGTAGGTTCAGTTAAAATCAGTAGTTGAAGGATTGGATGATGGTCTATTGTCAATCATAACTGAAGGAGGTAGCAACTTTAGTGTTGGTCAGAGACAGCTCTTTTGTCTTGCAAGAGCTCTCCTGAGAAACAATCCAATTTTAGTATTAGATGAAGCCACAGCTAATGTAGACATGAAGTAATGACCAGCTTCATTTCTACTCTATCATTTTATTATAACATGTAGAACTGATGGTATCATTCAAGAAGTGATTCGTGAGCAGTTTAGTGAATGCACTGTACTGACTGTTGCCCATCGACTAAACACTGTAATGGATTATGATAAGATCATGGTATGTTACTACATGTATGTTCATTGTTAAATTTAATTTATTATTAAAATGTGACTTTAAAGGTACTGGATAAAGGAGAATTAGTGGAGTATGATGAACCTCATTTGTTGCTTTGTCAGTCGTCATCTTACCTTGGACAATTAGTTGATCAAACGGGACCAATCAATGCTAAGAAGCTAAGAGACATAGCTCTATTGAATCATCGGCAAAAATGTGTAAATTAATGAGCTACACCCTTTTTAGCTGTGCCATGTTTTAGTGTAACTGTATTAATAATATGAGCTTATTTATTCTTATGTAAACATCAAGCACTTGTGAATCTCGCTGGATGGACAAGCAACGAAGTAACAATCTAGTACTTTACAGATGCTGCAATTATAATGCGAAAATGAAAGTGATTTGAAGCAGAAGAAGGAGCTAACTGTACCGTGCATTGGGTTGCCATGCTGTATTACTATTCCACTGTGATCAATTAGTCAGCTATAGTGATCAATAATAGGATTGCAGCAAAATTGCGCTATTAATACTGATAGAGTTTGAAATTATTTTTCCACAATGTAAATTTGTTTTTAAGGTACATAATGAGTACATTGTCTTTTATGGTGAGTACTTAATCTATAGGATCATCAGTGTCTCTAGTAGGTGTGTGTTTGTAAGTGTATATAGTGTCTATGGCAAAATCATCATGTAGTGAAGATGAATAATGTTAAGGTGTCACAGGGTGGGGCTGGGAACTAAAGTAAACACTTCACTGCTTTTCCTCTCGTATTTAGAAGCGTAGCCCTACTCAGTGTAGCTATGTCTTCACTAGTCGAGGAAATGGAGTCCAAGACTAGCTTGGACGCCGAATGGAAGCGAATACAAGAGAAGACCTTCACGCGTTGGTGCAACGAGCAGCTCAAGTACAGGGAGATAGTATTGTCGGATCTAGCCGAAGGCCTCTCCAATGGAGTCAATCTCATACACTTGCTAGAGCTTCTCTCCACTAAGCCGCTGGGCAGATACAACAAGAAGCCTCGAGTCCATGCACAGAGGATGGAGAATGTCGATATGGCTCTCAACTTCATCACAAAAATAGAGAAAATCAGGCTTGTCAACATAGGTGAGGAAGATAAAATCATGATTTTTTGTAGTTTTGTTATAAAATAATAAGCATCAGCATAAGATGCAGCAATAAAGTCCATTTTGGGTAATATCAAAGTGACTCTTATTGTGATTTGTGAATGAGGTGTGTGTCCAGGTGTGTGTGCAAATTCTAATTGAGTAGACCTCTCTCTGCACCTGCTCTGTGCCCATGCATGTACAATTGCTATTGGCTCAATGTATTTGCTTAATGTAGCATGCTATACTATTGTGCTACTAAGTTGAATCTAGTTGCATGACTTATAAACTTAGTTATCAGCAGCAGGGTGAACGTCAAGTGCAGCATTAGTGCATGCTTAGATCAAAATAGTACGATTTTCAATCCTTAGTGAGCTTTAAAGTGGATTTAAGCTGGGTTCAGAATATTTGTTTTGCGACCGGAAGTGCCATATAACGCAATGATAAGCGCAAGAATAGAGTCAAGTTCTATTCTTGCATTTACCCATTGCGTTATATAGCACTTCCGGTCACAATGCAAATATTCTGAACCCAGCTTTACACTGTAAAGTTAACGTAAGGTAAGGCCATGCGTTAAAGGCCGATGTACACTGCAAAATTAACTTAAGGTAAGGCTATACGTTAGACCAAGGAAGTGCTGTATAAACCAATGGCCATCGTTTACGTAACATAAGAGTTGGAATTATCTCTACTCTTACCTTACGTAAACATCAGCCATTGGTTTATACAGCACTTCCTGTTGTGTATAGCCTTACGTTACGTTAATTGTGCAGTGTAAAGCCACCTTAATTTATGCTACTATGATACTGTGTTTGTGTAGGGAGTGGAGACATAGTTGGAGGCAACAAAAAGCTCATACTGGGTCTAATTTGGACCCTTATACTTCACTATCAGATTAACCTTGGCCTTGGGCTGAATGACAAATCAAAGAATCAGAAAATGTCGGCAAAGAAGGCACTCCTTGGATACATAAATGTAAGAGCTTTTAAGATTATATTTTTATTTATAAACATGATTAACTTGTGTATCTATGTTATTTACAATATTCATATCTAAGTATCTTCTTTCCCCATGCAAATTCCTTATATTCAGTTTGTGTATATGTTACGGCAACTGGATAGTGTCTGTTTGAATAAGAATTTATGCTATTCATCATTATCTTGTTGTTTTTCCTTATAGTCAAAAATACCGGAGAAAAATATCAAAGATTTCACTTCAGACTGGAATGACGGCACAGCAGTAGCTGCTCTGGTGGACGGGATTGCTCCCGGACTGTGTCCAGAGGCCGAGACAATGGATCCAAAAGACGCTCTAGCAAATGCACAGCATGCAATGAAGCTAGCTGAAGACTGGCTGAGTGTTCCAATGGTATGTATTTACATTATATATTATGTGTATATTTACTCTGTGTGTGTATATTTACTCTCTCTGTGTGTGTGTGTGTGGTTTATCTGTATATGCATGGATGTGAGTGGGGTATTTTAAATTTAAAATATTTAATGTTTATTTCTTTGGTTGTATTCACTATAGAATTACCGAATAATGTAAACAAAGGGACGAAATTGTCAATATTTATATTATTATTTCCTCTCTCTCCCTCAGGTATTGGGCCCGGAAGA